TTTGACCATTTTTTTTTTTAAATGTAGACAGAAGAAATGTCCCTTAGCTTGAAAAGTGCTGCTGCTTTCGTGAAATCGTAATTAATAAAAATATAGATCAAAAAGTAAAGGTCACACATTTTTCAGGTGGGGTCCCATTTCTTGAAATTTAAACTAATAAAATGTGAATTCTGGTTAAAGCAGCAGCACTTTACATAAAGCCCAAGATGTATAGAAAATATTTATGAATTAAAAATTTACTTTGAATGAGGGCATGCCCTTGCGATATTGAGATTTGTTAATGACCTCCATACAGTGTACACATTATATGCATTTATCACGTGACTGTCAATTAAGGTGACCAAGCTAAATTCACTATAGTTGGGTATACTATGTAATTACAATTAATATTAAAGTCATGTGATAAAATAATGGGTATACAAAAACAAAGTCATTTAGAGAAAAGTATCTATTTGTGCAAGTTAATATTCCATTAATTTCCTCTTAGTATGCCTTCACAGTGATGCACATTATAAATGTTTGAAAAAAAAGTTCCTTCATGAAAAGACATGTATTTTGTCACATATAAAATGTTGACTGTGCTACCGTTAGGGCGAGCGCAGATACATTTTCCATGTTTTCAGTGTACTGTTTATAAACTGTATTTAGATCCTTGTCTTCAAACCACACGTGACATTTGGTAAGTTTGACTATGACGTCAAATGACGTCGTATTTAGGTTATATTACCGAACCGAAGCCTGAACAGTGCTGATTTTAATGAAGAACGTTTTATAGTATATATTATTACCTAACCTACTATATAAATTGTAATTAGGCATTTTGAACTGTTTCCTGATTCTTTTTAATGTTTTTGCAAATCATGAAACAGTCAAATCTGTTTACCCGGTCACAGAATAAACTGTTGCATGGCTGAACTGTTCCATTATGACGTCATAGTTAATTTCGCGTACTTTACAGCTATAATATTGAATTATATATAAATTGAAGCATTTTTATTCAATTTGAAATTATCATCTGAAAAGTAAACCTGATACCAATTTAAATATGTATTCAATTTAATATCATTTCAAAGAAGAGGCCATGAACACCTTTTCTGAGGGTAGTTTGGGAAAAATGTAGGCCCCTTTCATTCAGTATAGATCTTTGCCATAAACGTGCAATATTCAAATCTTTAAGACATCATTATGTTGTTTACTACATGCTTTTTTTTCAATTTATTAGTGCATGATAATATCACACCCATTAATTTTTCTGATTTTACACCAATCGGTGTGAATATTTAATTAATATTCATCTTGTTTAGTTTGGTTTTAAAAAATAATACAAACTTTTGTCAATGTATTTTAAAAGCCATTGATTATTATGTCGATATCATTACTTTAAGAAATTATATAGTAGGTTAGGTAATAAAACACTTATTTCATGACAACTCGGGAAACAGTCAAACTGTTGTCCCTCGATAATGGGGAAGACCTCGTAGTCATGAAATAAGTGTATACTATTTTATCTGCAATGTATCCACTAAATCAAGGCGAGTTTATTTTTTGTTGAACTTTTGTTGTTATTCTCGAGAGAACCTAGCTTTAACAAGCGATGCATTGTGGGTCCAGAATAACTGTCTGCGGAAAGAAAATCATTGGGATCAATGTGCAAAGTCCGAATTTTCTCTTCGCCCAGGCGTTGTTTTAAGAGCTAGAGGAGACGAGCGGCGATTTGCGCCGCTCGCCATTAATTATTGTTTGATTTCAAATTGAATATCATTTTCTTCTTTCTAGTTAAACACGCTTAATTAGCTAATACATATTTCCTTGATGCATTATAAGTTCCGGGTCAATTATAGTGCCGAGTAATACCTAGGTCACATTTAAGAAGGTGGTCGGGCGAACACATTTTTTCGTATCTTCTGCTGAAAAACATGATTGGCCGACATTAATATCGGGCGACGCGGAGCAGTCACGTTAATTCCCAGAACAACGATGATTTTAAAAGTTTAAATATTTATAAGTCGGTCAATCGTCGACCGATCAAATTCGCATAAAACAAATGCCATATACGTATACATATTCAATATTCTTAAAAACTTTTTTGATGGTTTGATTTTTTGACGAAACCTTAAAAATTATATTTTATTGAAATGTTATTTAGATAACATCGACTATTTTTACCGTGTTAATCGAAATACAAACCAAATACATCATAAAAATGCATTGCTTACATTTTTTTTCCTGCAGACTCTTTTAAAGAGTGCATATTCTGTATATTTTGCATTTTATTGAGTGTACATTATGTATATTTTGCATTTGTGATATTAAAATGCTTTTTTTGCAAACTTGATTACTTATGCCTAGTCAAGTCATTTAGACTGAAAAATATGTTGCGTTTCTGCATCTTTTAATCGGGGCATTTGATGTAAAGGTACTAATGGAATGCATGCAATTGTTTTTTCAGCTAAAATTCTAGTTAATTTGCAGTTCTTACTGGTTCCGTCTCTACTGATTCAGTCTTAGTGTTCTTTAAATTGATCTGTTAGCTGCACTGAGACATGGTTAGTCGAGGGGGACTGTCGAGGGACTGCTGCTGGTCGGACTAGGGAGGAATAATACAAATTAAGAAACATTGGAAAAATGTCCTTAAGCAAAACCTGTCAGATTTGCGAAAACTCATATGGTGACATTTTAACACGGATCAAATACTATATACACTATATATCCAGTACATGCACGTACAACTATTACATAACAAAGAGTCACGTGATCTAATTGAAATGTATTAATTTACTTTGTACAATGTGCAATCAAAGCAATAGGTTTGGTAAATTCCATGCTTCTGTACTTTTTCAGTAATTCTAAGTAAATTTCTGTACTTTTTCAGTAATTCTAAGTAATTTTCTGCTTTTTTATGTCTGCTATCATATATCAGCTTAGATTTGTCACTTTATCGTACACATTGTATAAGGGAGGTAGCATTGTATGTAACTCTCGATGCATTCAGAGGGTATCGCTGCCTGAGTTTATGCAGTAATACAATTAATCTTTTCACACCATACATTAATCTATTGATTCATAAACAGGTCGAGTAATCTACCTTATATGGCAGTTGTTATTATGGCACAGAGCGGAGATTGTCCAATCCGATAAAGGAATTGCAGAGCATGATGGTATACTAGATGTTTTCATTTTACTACTGTAACAGACAAGTGGTTCGGGTCACGAACTATGTACTCTAACTCTCGATTCCCGCCTACCCAGGTACATTTTACACACATTTAATTCAATATAATGTTAATTTGGTCATTAAAACTACTTTGAATACAAAGAAGAGTTCAATGGTAATTGATTAATGATTTTAATAACAGTGTCAATTTATTAATTACCCTTAATTAAATATCTTTTTATAAGAGGGTAGACGATGTTTTCCATTGAATCAGGCTTCACATTATCAACAGTTTTTAAAATATTCTTTGATATTAATAAATGTCCCTTAAGTATGTTTGTACAAATAACTCCTGTAAAATTAAACATAAATTATTGATAAAGTACATTTTTTTAGTTGTTAACCCAGTTAAAATTTGTGATAAAATGATCATTTTTGCTGTTTTTGTCTCACATTATGCCCCCCCCCCTTGAAACAACAAAATCTTTGGTATGAATTAGATAAATAAACGATTCTTAATACATATAATAAGGAATTTTTGTTGGGGTGGATGTGTTTTAAAAATATTTTCCGTTTTCCATTGATTTCTATAGTGAAAAACACAAGTTTTACCAAAATTATAGAGTTATCTCTCTTTTTTTCCAAATAAATTATGTTTTGTGAAAATCCATATAAATATCTATATAAGTATGAAAATTTATTCAAATCTGTTAACATTTGAAAAATTACTTAGAGGTACATGGGAGAACAATACTATCGTTCGCAGTTCTTTAGGTGGTAATCTTTATTCGACTAAGGGAAAGACAATTAAAACTAATTTTCATTGCTTTTATAAAAAAAATACAAAGATAAGGTACAAATAAAGATGTTCCAAGCTCACATTAAAAATCGAAGTTGTGTTTGTAAGTTAAATAATAGATTAAAATCCCTTCACCAAACCATCACAATACTAGTATTTAAAACATGATAATAGGTTTGGACAATTTAGTGACTATTATCTTGGTCCAGGGAATCCACGTGATTTTTTTTTTCACTGATACTAGAAAGTGGAAATATATACAATCGTCCACAAATGGCCTTAGACAATAAAATGGATAAAAGTAGAATTCTACGTTTATTAATCAATTGTTTGTAAATGTGAGCATGAAAATAGTAGATAATTACATACATATTTTACTCAATCTTTGAAATACATAAAAAAATATAATGTGCTCCTCAGAAAAAAGTATTCTTGTAGTAACCCATAACGCAATTCAAATCATTAGCTGACTGGTTAGTGTAAAGCTACCTTGGTACCTTATTTACAAATTAATTTCGATGTCAGGGTATATAGTTTCCCCGACATGATAAATTCTAAAACGAAATAATATATGCAAATTTACATATTCAAACCAACAGGCATGTGACAATTGTAAGCAGAGTCCGACTTTGAAAAGTCAAAGATTTAGAAAAAAAATGTTTTCAAGTTTGCGAATTTACCATTCTGTTACCTTTATATTTTTAATGAAGATTGTTTTTCTGTTGATCAATTAACATACTTGATTCATTGTGCAACATCTAGAGTATAATTGATTAATGCGATATAACAAATAATGAAACATGAAACAATTCTGTCGAAACAGATTTAACAAAAAAATAAGTTTCTGCAATTCGAGGAGATCGATACTCATGCTTTTTATGTATTGCAAAAAGCTCAAAAGGGTATAATTCTTATAGGGGATAAACTTATAATAAAAAGACGCACAAAAAAATCATTTTCTTTGAAAAAAAAGAACCCCACTAATTTGCATGGTTGCATTCTCCTTATTTGCTTTAAACTGCGTATTATCATACTATTATAAAATCATTGAATGATGAGACTTTTATTTTTTTATTTTTTCAAATTTCGCGCCATGTTTTCCTGTGCGCTGATTAGCCCCTGTTGTTACAGCGGTCTGTGACGTCTTCTCCGTTATATATCCAAACAGACGTGCAGGGACACACAGCTCTGACAAGAAAAAGTATAATGTAAACATATTGCATAAAAATATTGTATACATACAGAACCCAAACAGCAGAGGTTGCCAAAATACGCGTGTTTTGACCATCTGCTTATATTTCATTCTTATCTAAATCTTCAAGTACGAAACTTATCATATTTGAAAAAAAAGTCTACATTGCGAAGAAGAGTGACTTATTCCTTAAATTTTACACAATGATGACTTTAAAATGCTGTTGTTATTATTGTCATTTGAAATCAGTAATGCCTGTGATTCTGAAACTTCTTGATTATCTATTATAATTGCAGGTGTTTTCAAAATACAATTGCAAATAACATTCTCATCAGTATTGGTAAAAGGAGCCCAAATGTAATATAACATGAAATAATATTTTTGTATTTATTTTTTTAATTATTTTTTTTCTGCAAGACTCTCAATACTCCTTGAATACAATAAGATCTACGCAATGTCAAGATGTAAAAAAATCACTATGATGAAGAACGCCAATTGATGAAAATAATAAATTGGTAAATGTAATATCCGTATAAAAAAAACCAAGTTGTCATATTAAGTTATTATTATAATTATTACTACTACTTTGCAATAATCGATTATAATTCCCACTTCAGTCAATTCTGTATATACATGTATTTGTATTTCAAACTTTTAGATCAAAAGCACCAAAAATGTTATTCATCAAAACAAACTATGAACTCAAACTTAAAGATGTTATTTAATATTTAGTAGTGTTGTGACATCTAGAATTTTTAAAATTGGTCTTCATGTAGTAATGTGGAATACGGTTTAGTTTATATATAGTTTTTTTTAAAAAATGAAAGAAAAGTTTCAATATAATTTCATGATCACAATAGTTTAGCGTACGTTATCTTTTGAAACCTTAAGCATTTTTTATTCATTTAAGAAAACAGGAAAACGATTAATATGACTATTCCTTGTGATTACCCAACAAAAATTACTATGATTAACTATAGTTTACTATAGTATCAAAGTTTTTTTTTACTATTTTTTTTTTACTATGGAAAATCAAACTATTTTTACTATGGATTTCAAATTGTTAAATATTTTGTTCTTCAATTCATATATGCACATATTAAATGGAAGTATTATTGGTATATAGACATATTATTTCCACATTTTACATAACTGTTATCGAATTTAAGAGATTTTAAGCTTTGAAATCTCAAAAAAGTTCCAGAGTAAAGTTTCATAGTAAATCAAAGTATCAAAGTGTTCACCATAGTTAACTATAGTAAACTATAGTTAACATTAGTGAATTTTTGTTAGGGATATTCCCCAGCAAAAATAAGACATGTAAGCCTTTCTTTCAAAGAGCACCTCGTATATATTTGCTTATTTTTAGCATGTGGTAGAGATCAATTTTAGGTGAAGTAACCTTTTCTATAGTCTTTATTGTACTCACACGCAGGTGGCCTGAGGATACGCCGGGCACTTTTGAATAGTACATGCTCCAATTAGGCAGGCTATCGCTGGACAGACTGAAAATAAGTGCAATAATATGCAATCTCTTTCAATATTTGATCCTTATTTTCATCCCCACTTTAATTTTCCATGTTTTTTGTGCAAAATCTTGACTCTAAGAGTTTGTGTGTCAGATTTGACAGGATTTTACTGGACTATAAATCTAAGAATATCTTCATTGCGGGAATTTGTGGGAATTTGTTATGTCTATAATACAAATGAGACATCTTTTGATGCAACAGAAAATGAACTAGTACTTCAGACGTTGAGCATGATACATGTGCTATAGGATCTATAATTATTATATATACCTTAAACATGTGCCGCAACTTGTACAGAAAATATATGCTTACTTTTGTATTTGTCACCAAAAAAGTTTGATTCATTTTTTGGACATTATCAACATTCAACTTTTAATATTAAAACGTCATAAAAGATGATAGTGATATCCTTTAACCAATTCAAATGAAATGTGTAACACATATACATTATAAGGAATCAATGCTTACCTCTATTCCTGCAAACCCTATTACAGAGTCCTCTTGATTGAAAATTGTTCGCATTTCCCCCACAGCATCCATAGGTAAACCGCTGGCAAGTTCCTGTTCTTGTGTTGTAGTAATATCTTTGACAGGAGCCTCTGCAGGGACCGGGATCACGAGGTAATGCACATATTGGATTCGCTAAATAGGCAAAAGATTAAATAGACGCTTTTTATAATTTATATTGAATAAGTAAGACACTATTACTAATTGATCAATAATGGGTTTAATAAGATTTTAAAGTGTTGGACCTGTTTCTAGAGATTCAACACAATCGTCATTAGTTATATATTTTTTTTTCTAAATAGCATCATTAAAATTGATTTGTTAAAAACATTAGTATTCATTTATTTTGTTATTACACGCATGCGCACTATTGCTTACCTGGAGGACGAGGACGGTATCCTTGTCCATTGACTACAACCTAAAATGAAGTGTTGATTTAATTTTAATTACATAGGTACTAAGCATAAACTTTTTCACTGATGACCTCTTATCTTTTTAATAGTAATCATATATAATTTTCAAACTGCTATATTTGCTGCAGATCTGCAGCAAGTCTGTTAAGCGTCTGCAGCAAATAAAATTGTGTGCAGAAAGAAATAATATAGTTCGCAGATAATTGATGGTAGCTGCGATCTTGCAGCAAACATGAAGTAAATTCTGCAAGCTTGCAGAGAATTGACAGAAAATCAATATGTTTGAAGGAATTTTCAAAAAAACATACATGCCAATCTCTTGTTCGCCGCAAGTTGCAAGAAAGATGTTACAAATAGAATGTTTACAGAAAGTTCGCAAGAAAAGTAAATTGAATCATCCAAAGAATTCCAGTTTATGCTTAAATCAACACAGAACTTGTCATTTCGTTCAAATGAAGTTAGACTTTATAGTATTATATCAGGAAAATAAACATTTTAAACTTGTAAATAAAAGTCTAGTCCTTCCCAAAAAGTTCAAGTATTTTGTCAGACATTCATTATTGTTTTATTAACTGAGGTAGATCAAGCCCACTGATTTCAATCTTTTTAAACTCACATTTGCATGTTTTTATTGCGTTGTTTTTTATGCAATATAGGTTCCTGAGCAATTAGTATAATGTCTCTATATGTTTTAATAGGTATTCCTAATAAGTACTAGAGTATTTGGAAGTTAGTCTTAAATATAGAAATCTGAGTTGATGTCCTTATCTTTTGTAAATGAATTAAGAAATTCATATAGAATATACATCAGAATAACATTTATCTGTAAAAAATATATATACGAGAAAACCGACTTACAAACTCTCTTACAATTCATGTTAACTTTAACAACCTAGTCTGTTCTAAAATATACATATTTTTCATTCGTTGAGGTGGTCATATTCATCGTTGAAACATTTGTGATACAGAGAGAGTACTTGTTTGCCTAAGGATTTCAACATTACTACCTTATTGTTACAAGTTTCTGGAAAGGGTGTGGATTTTCAATATACATAGGAGTGAATAAACTCATTTCACATAAATGAACATTTACAAATATGCTTTTTTTTAAGCAATCGTTTACAAGGTAAAAGTTGTAAAATTTCTATGAGTTAAATAGAACTGATGTTAACTTGTTTTTTTACGACCAGCAATACTTGGAAGTCTTAATTATTGGGAAAATGCCCTTTCAAAGAGGTGTAACATGATGACATGTTTATGCATTTCATGTTTTATTGATGTTTACGTCTCACTTCATGTATATGGAAAATCAGAACAATAAATCCTAAGGATTTCTTTCTTAAAAAGATAATTATATAATCAATGAATAGTTAACAATAGATTATTATATCAAAGTTTTTACAGTATTAAAACGAAGAATTATAGAGTAAATAAAGAAATTTTACTATGAATTTCATTTTTTATATTCCATTCTCCAAGTCTTACATACAATTTTATGACATTAAAAGGAAATGTTACTGGTATATTCACATATTATTTCTATATTTTACTTCATTGATGTTAAATAACGAAATATCAGGACCTTATGTCTAAAAAATATTAAAATTTAAAGTTTCCAATTATCAAAGCGTATTCTATAGTTCGCTATTATACATTTATTGACTGAATTTGAGGGCAACACGCGTTTTGTCGGACTGAAGAACCAAACAGTTTTGTTCGAGGGGTCGACAAAATGCATTTTGTCCGAAAACACAGTCAATAATTGTTTCGTTATACCTTTTATTACTTTTTTTGACATACATGTATCTTTTGCTGGCTTGCATGAGGTAATTTTTTTTTACTCGCACTGTGGTTAAACTAGGTCAATTCTGTCACTGTCGAACACCAACGAATGGAAATAAGATTTAGCTGATTCACAACCCCTCCCCCCTCCCCACAGTGTGAAATGCTGTCCGATATCTCACTCTGCGGTCAACATTCGATTTATTTTTATGACCTGAAATTCTAGAATTTTTGAAGTATAGATTTATATTTGAATTATATAGGAACCAATTTTCAAAGGTAAAACAAAATATTTTTTGAGAGGGAAACTACACATTTCCAACAGTGGTTACTTGAAGGCATGATCTGATATGTTTTACATGGGCAATGTCCTTAGTTCATTTCCTCATAAATTTTCAAAATTTAAATACTTTACTCAAAAAAAAAATCAATCTATTTCATTCATCTCATTTAAACATGCGTATATTGACAATTCATCGAAGGTTGATTACCTCATCCAGACTTACATTCCTGTCTACATTATTACTCCTCATATATTATGAGGATGGGAATTAATTTTTCTAAACATTAAATCTCATTCAGATCCTACATAGTTAAAAAATATGTTGCTGAGCACCAAAAGATTTTTCACAGCTAAAGGATAATAAGTTCTTGAAATGTAGAGAATTCAAAGAATTTTAAAAAAATCAAAATGTTCAGATGTGAAATGAATGATTTATCGGAAAGTTATAGTGAAACACACTTTATGTCACTTGAAAGAAAACTACACAAAGTGAAAAGGTGTTTGCTGACATATAAAAACATCTCTAATGAATAAACAATGAAGACGGAATAGAATGTAGTGATTTTTTTAAGTGTGGGTATAAGTTTATCAAAGGATAGTAAAAAAAATTGATATTGTTTATTTAAAGCCTAATTTATTCTTCCTTTAAAAATAGAAACCCTGAAGAAATTCTTTTCAAAATGTAGTCCAAAATTTACTTACAATTACAAAGCTCAATAACAATCCAAGTATAAACTTTCGCTCCATAATCTCTTTCGTCAGCTGTTCCAATTTGTATTAATATGCATACTTTATATACTTGTCAGTTAGCTACAATCACATGATTTTCACAGATGACCTACCTCGACAGATTTTCCTGATGATTAATATCAATAGATTATGATTTTATTTCTGTTCCTTTAAGCAAATTATACAAAATTGATTGTATTTTCTAACAGAACTCATATTTTCGTGATATGTAATTTATAATCATTTTCATTTGGATGTAACATTTGAACTTAAATAGATATTAATATACATGATAACCATATCTGTATTTGACTGTAAAAGTTTCAAGATTCTTTTAAAATATAAAGAAAAATAGTTTGATTACATTTGAAAAAGATGAACCCCTTCATGATTAACATAAACAACAAAACTAAATCATTTCTAACTTTATAAAATACTGATATTTTATTTATAGGTATAAAATTTAATCTAACTGGTGTTATATTTGAAGGCTGAAATAAATTTTGACAAATTCCTTTGTAATATAAAACTGAAATATGAACATAATGAACAGTAATCAAAGTCTCAAGGTCCATTCTGGTTTTAGATTTAGATTGATGAAAACAATGAATACTGCTATTTTTTCTCCTTCATGGATCTTCGAAGTTCCTTGAATGCAGATCTCGTCTTTTTTTTCTTTTTTTTCTTTTCTTTTTATCTTTATCAACCACAAAAAAAAAAAAAAAACACGATATATCGATCTTTTTGCACTTATTAGCACGCATCACAGACGTTTAGTGCACAGTTATGACAAAAACTTTCACAATGCTATATCAAGCTAAACTTTATTTATCTCTGAGTCGTGATTTTACTGGAAACAGTAAGGAAAGATGTTGAAATTAATTTTGGGGAATTAATTTCATGGAGTTTCAGACAAAAAAAAAAAAAAAAAAAAAAAAAAAAAAAAAAAAAACCAAGTTGATGAGACTGATCTAGAAAAAATCAAGATGGCGGCGATGTGTACCTTGTGAATTATTTGGTATGGGGTTAAACATTTTTAATAAGAAAAATATGTAAGGTCAAGTGCTTGTGGCTAATACTGGTTCTACAACACTGTGTTTCATTAAGAAAAAAACTGTAGCATTTAAAGTTGGTTTCTGTCATAAGAAATCATTTGAAATTTTGCAATTATTTTAGATTGGGCCTTTTAGATCGTTGGTCGCTGATTTCTTATGGCGAATAAGGATGGGGTTGGTCATCTTATAAATTATACACTTGCATCCACTCAAAAAGATTGATTTTTTTTTTTTTTTTTTTTTTTTTTTTTTTTTTTTTTTTGCTTTTGTTGATAAGCTTCACAATGCGGCATTTAAACTGATAAAGATCTCCATATTTAACAAATCGGTTCTTTTTAAACAGAAGGACCATTTCTTATTTATTTATAAAAAGAATGTGCTTTTTACATTTAACAAGTATTTTATTCAAATAAGACAGTTTTCTCTGTAATTCTGAAACAGTCATTTTAATATATTGTTAATTATTAAATTTTGTTATTTATCAATGCTGGAATTCCATATTTAAAGCCTCAGTTTATACAACTGCAATTAGACAATGTTAACATCACTCTTAAAAGAAAGCAACACCGTTTCATTTCGTTTTACAGGCTTTCCATTGTTAAGAGGATTCTGTAACTTTCTAATAAATAGTGTTTGCATTGAATAAATTCGCGATGTGTATATAAACCACCTGTTGCACGATGAAACGTTATCGTCGATCATACCGTTTTGAATTAATGAGACTCATTTCCCTTGCCTTGCTAGAAGGTTGTTTTAGTCCAATTCGCATAATTTATGGTAATGTAATATGCTGAAAAAAACTGCTGCCTTAGGAAAAAGTACCCCGGTTTATTGCGCTTTATATTGCACAGAATTGTTGTGACCCGAGTTAAATGAAAAAAAGTGAAGAAAACAAACAGTGATTGATCTCAAAAAATCTTCAAGCAATACAAATCTGTGAACAAGGCATAAAACAAGGACCCTCGGAAATTCCAGGGTTGGAATCAGGTGCCTAGGAGGAGTAACCATCCTCTGTCGACATCCTCTCTGAGCCCTATGTATTGATCAGGTAGACGGAATCTTCCGTAGTTAAAATTAGTATAAAAACAAAGGCGTAACAATTGATATGAAGAAAAGTCAGACAGAATACAACACATTGGTATGATATATTGGCTAAGAAGGTCATAACAACATAATAACCATAGCATTAACAAAATGCTGAATTTTAAATGAGGTTGTTGAAATCCCTGGAACATTGACTCATCTGTCAGTAGACTGCCTCGGATTAAAAATGTTTCGTACTCAGAGTATGCTCTTGAGTATCGAAGAAGTTTTGAGACGTAGAATCTATGCATTTAATAGCGGAATATTGCTACATAAATAAGGAAAATGGAAAAGCTGGAGTCATCTCGATTGTCATAAAATTTAGTTGTTAGTTGGCCCTAATCGTATGATAAACAAATTCAAAGGTCAAAACATTCTTGTTCCAAAAGTGGAAGAAAAGATTTGTCCGAGTTCTTTGAATAAAGGCAAGTGTTAGCCACACTTAATGAAGCGACTGGTTTTAAATTCGTTGCATAGGGGAGACCTGTACAAGAATTTCGTAGAACATTCTTTTTTCCCTTTGATGCTGATTGCTTTGCAAATAATCCTACGATTCTGGAAAAATTATGTAAATTTCGATCTTTTTTTTAATTCAGGGCACTGTCAGATATCATTATGTTTCTTCGAGACCCGCTGTTAAAGGAAAACAAATAAATTAATTTTATAGAATATTGAAAAACCTTCCTTCCACTGAGGATCAAATCTTAGCTCATTATTGTTTGCTTGTGTTTACTATTGTGCTACCTTGAGGAAATACTGAGAAAAAACCTTTCCAATCTTAACCAAAACAAAAAATAAACAAAATAAATCGTGAACCTTAAAGATGATTTATTCATGAATGGCTAAATAACGTAAAAGCTAATAAATTAATAATTAGCATTTCGCGACATTTAAATTTCTCTGCCCTTGGGTATTTAGCAAACACAGCAAATGCATGGATATGATGTGCAAGGGTTCTTCTTCCTACATTACATGTATGAGTTTCTCTGCCCCTGGGTCAGGGGCTTTGGTGTTAGGGTGGGACTCTATAAATCATATAGTGAGAATGTACTAATTCGTTGAAAATCTTCTTCTGTGGTCCTAGGTATCTTGCAGATAAACTAAGTATAAAGTATAAATGATGAGCAAGTATGTTTTTCCGAATTTGTGAATTTCATGGCCCACAAGATCAGGGAATTTTGAATTAGGGTGTGCTGTGTTGAATCTAGAGTAAAAAGGATTATTTCTTTGAAAATCTGTTTTTCTGCTCATGGGCAAACAGAGTACAAAAATGTAATAATCAAGGAGTATTTTTACCACATTTGTGAAATTCTAGACCACTTGGTCAAGTGCTCCGGTACATGCTGGGCAGGGCTCTTTTTAATTGTATTCTTCTGACAGAATTTATTCCCATTTGTTATTCACCTGTGATAATAATAATAATCAGTGGTAATAATGTCAATGATTGTCAATTGATTATAAAATTATGCAAGAATTTTTATAATAATACTATATAATACAAATAGTACTTTCAATGTCTTTAGTGGTCAACCATATTTTTAAATTACAGAAGAATAAAAATGAAACAAAAATACCTGTTCTTTATATGTATTAAATATTCTTCAAAGACAAAGAGAAGCCAATTTGAGAGGGAATAAGATTGGCTAAATAATTGTGCTAAAGCACTACTTTTTCTTAGTAACTGAGTACTAGACTAATTATTTTGTTGATCCCTGATCATCCTTTTTCTCTTCCTATAGGGTAACATAGATTCATCTATCAGTTTTATTTAGCTATACTTCTACGGATCCTTTATAGTGTTGTATTATATGCAGGTGACTGTTAAAACCCTTGGTCCTCTTGTTAAAGGATATTTTGGAGAGATTTGACATTGACTTTCTTAGTAGTCGGTACAATTTGAATTTTCAGATAAATTCTCTTATGGATTTAACTATGTTTCAAATAAAATTTTGGAAAATGACACTGATATATTATCTTCTATTAACAACAAAGGTCAAGGTATGGTAACGGCCGAATCTGGTCCTTTATTTGATGTAAAAATCAGAACACAGTTAAAATTGTGATAGTTTATAGTAAAGAACTTAAAAGGATGCTTGTTTTAAAGCTAGCACTAATTTTGATTCAAAGCTTACACGGAGACCACAAGATGGTGCAGAAGCAGGACATTTTCCCGAATTTTCTCAACTCTGGTGGAAGTTCGTCAAATTTGAGATACTTTTCACTTCAGGAAACATATAGCACAAGCTTGCCTATCGGAGATTTTTATACATAAGATGTATCTGATACTAATGTATGAAATATATAAATTTGGTAGATGTGCTGTATGTTTTCTGAAACAAAATGTGCTGTAAAATTTGCATAAAAATGAAGAAGTTCGGAAATTGACATATTTTCTGACCTTCCTGTGACCTCAGTGTATCCCATAACTTAGAACCAATACTCATTTTGTGGCAGGGGTGACAACAGGTTTCTATTGATAAACTGTTGCATCATTCTAAAAGACACCCCAAACCAGGGACCAAAAAGGGGTCTAAGCCTATCTTGTCCTTTGTTGCTACTGCTAAAAATGTCAATTTAGATCAACGCTACACATTCTTATGCAATTATAGACAACGGTATGGCTTTATACAAAAAAGGCTACGAAAATCAATTAAACCATTTCTTTAGAAAATCTCTTCGAAATAATAGCTTAACATAGGAAAATTATTTATTCGTTTAATTTTAATTAACGGGCATACTACTCTCAGTTGGGCAAATTTAAAACAGGGCGAAATCAAAGACTACATAATACTTTCCTAAATAGAACTGTGACTGGGCGAATTTAAAACGGGGCAAAATTGGTTGCAAATGCGAAAGGGTGAAAATAATGGGGGGGGGGGGGTTAACCCCGTATACAGTAAATATATATTTTAAATTCAAAGCTGCAATTCTGTTGAAAATTCAGAAAAAGTATTTTCTTTCCCTTTTTTAACTTACATGTAGGTCTCACTTGGAAAACGTGGACATCCGTGAACTGGTTAAGCTCCAACAACGCAAAAGATGTTTGGACTTTCTACAAAAAATGTTACATGAACATCAATTATCGAGTGAATTCAATAAAAATATTGTTTTTATTGATTTCAACATATCAACGTAAACCTTGATGGATTCACAAAAATATGAACATTTTTTTTTTCAATAGAGATGAAGTTTTGACAATTGAAGAGGGAATGAAAGTTAAAGAACAGATTAAAATTTGAATGATTTCCTTTTTTCAGAAAGTGGTCCCGACGTTTGCAGAGAACACTTTTTAATCAATTCTACAGGATTCCCCCACTAACTTGAATTTGCTATTATCTATTCAGCATTAAATTTCTTTTTTACCATTTCTAGACCTTGGTTAATTACCATAGCTCCTCCCCGTCGCCAATACCTGAAATTGGACAAAGAATTGCACTCAACGTTTTGGGTAATAAACATGTTTTGAAATGGACCAAAATAGTCATCGCCTACAAGAATTAGGTTTTATTTTCTGTGTTATATTTTTGTGAAACATATAGAAAGATTCTTTTAAACATTTTTTTTTTTCTTTGACGGAGAATTATTGCACTAGCATTATTTCAAACATCTTTATTGTAAACGTCTTGTATTGTAGGTATTTTGTTTTGAAACCAAGCTTGTTTATTTTAAAATTATAGCATTACAATGATCCGATATATGATCTTATATGATATAAATGATTTACATATCTGCATTGTCAACATACTAAACTCGAAGGCCTTTCAAAAATCACGCATAATTTGCTATTACTTGCTTTTACAGATAGTAATGCAATTTCACAAAAAATATATAGGATTTTTGCGATGCGATCCCTATGACAATAACTGCAGAAATGACGCCTATTGATTTGTCGAAGCAACACACTATTATCAAATTATTTGTAATGCTCGAGAAATACGCAAGCATAGACCCAAATATGCTTGATAAAACAAGTAGTAAACCAGCGGGATTCCCGACATATGTCTACATATAGGAAAAGAGAATTTTAGACGGATAGACATAAAAAAAAAAAGGGAATGCAGGAGGGGACGAAAAAGATCATCGAGGAAATTAATTGAGAGTAATCACATGCTCAATATTTTTTTTTCAGAAATTTCAGCAGTTTTGTGGTTTAAAATAAACTAAAACACACTATACGAGTTTTATAGTTTTAAGCTGGACAAGAAATGATATATATGGAAGTTTATTCTGATTGGATACGGTAACCCAAACTGTACAGCATCAAACACTAAGGGAAATGTTGAAAAAAATTAAAGTCCCATTTTCTATAATACCTGTGACGTTGAAGATTTTACTACACCGTGACGTCATAATGTTCTTTTTGGAATTCTTTGACTTTGATACGTATAGCATTAATTAGAGTAATTTAATTAGAATAAAGTACAGGTAATTAACACCTGAAGAAAATTTCTTTCTAATTTGCACATTACATTCCTCTGGAATACGTATTTTTTTTCTTTTCCTTTTTTGAAAACATACATGTTTTGAATACATTTATTGCACCATTCCCATACATACTATTCGTTATTAAGGTGAAATAATCATCGTTTTGTCGTTGTTCTTCTAATATCAAAAAAGTAATTGTAGATCATTATTTCTGCTATAAGAACTACATATGATTTAAAAGGGGGATTGGATATTCGATATATATGCTTAAGCTTAAAAGTTTTACGTCACTTATTTAAGATAGATTAAAAGTATTACGTCAGTTATAAAGCTTTAGATGAAATACATGTATGAATTAACTGATACTTAAATATTTGAATTATAAAAGAGTGAGAGAGTTTTTTCAAGCATACAAATCAAATCCTATCTGTATTACAAAATACGATACAAATACAATACAATAGATGTTGGATGAAATGAATGCTCTTAACATTGTATTCAGTGAGCATTTCTTTCAAACATCACATTTTAAAAACAAAATAAATGAAGTGTCTTTCTCAATCTAACGCTGGCGAGTAAGGCCTTGTCATAACTAGCTGACTATCACAATACATGATTAAGAATAATAAATTTCTCTCTGTCGTAAATATACTTTAACCTTCCAAGTGCGTAAATTCATATCTTGATCAAAAGGTGTTATTTGTCCTTCCATTTGTCAAGCTGCCAAATTTCAAAATTTCCTGTTTTTGTATTTTTTAAATGTTTATTTTTTGATAATTTATTTATTATTTATTTATTTTGCTCTAAAAAATCATATTTTTTGTTACTTATGATTTAGCCTTTTTTAATGTTAATAAAAAATAATAAATAGATAAATAAATAAGTAAATAAACAGAATAAATAAATAAATAAATAAATAAATAAGTAAATTAATTATTAAGTTAATTAATAAATAAAGACAATTTTATGTGGTATCTGTCAAGCGTGCAGGAATGTCGTCATCTTGTTATATTTGTAAAAGGAATATTTTATTTAATAAACAAATCGCAAATTAGAAATATGTGTCCACATACTCAGTTGATTGATAGGAAATTTTATCAAATATGACGTCAGAGTAATTATTTTGGTTTTTATAATGCATTCTCATTTCCCGGCCACCTCAGCTGTCAACAATGTCATGCAAGTGAAGTTCGAAAAAAAAGAGAGGAAAATATCCTTTTAAATCCTGAACAGGTTAATACGTAAAGAAAACAGGATTGAAATGTTATACATTGATTACATGTCTGGAAAGTCGGTGTTTCATGGGGAATATATTGGGACTTCTTGTTTAAATTCTTGATATTCTGACATTCTACATATCAAAAAAATGGTAAAATCATTTTGGAAGGGAATGAGCTTGTACACTTGCATCAAAAATTCTTACAAAAAGCAATTTTTTGTGTTCTAGAACTATTTTTATTATTTTTATATTGATTATTTATTTATCTATTTATAAATTTTTTAATTTTTTTTTTTTTTTTTGAGGATTAGTAAAAAAAAAAAAAAAACCACAAGATACAAATTCAAGACTGTATTTTTTACTTATTTATTGCAAGTGATAAAAATAGAGGAATTGCTTTTTTCTGAAAGAAATAATCAGATCTATGACAATCGTAAGTTGTATCAAAAATTAATTAATGAAATAAATTAACTAATTAAATAAATAAATAGAGAAATAAAAAATAAATAAATAATTTAATTAATTAATCAAAGGAAAACGTAATCAAACAAATGAGTATTCACTTTATGTATTATTCATGAAATGAGAAATTAAATGCGCCGTAAATATTGACGGTACTTTATCTTCAATCATAATGAGTCGTATCATTCAGTTAGGACAGTGCATATATCACACATTTATAAATTAAAAAATAGAAACGTACAAACATTAAAGCCAATGTCAATCCAAATAATTTTTTTTTCCATTTTTCCAAAAAAAAAAAAAAAAAAAAAAAAAAAAAAAAAATCACGTGGTTGTGTCAGGCCACTGTGTCAAGGAGTGCTTGATCAACATTTTGTATTTTCTAAAAATCCTGTTTTTTTTCTGTAGTGATACAAATAAAAATTGACAAGCTTACAAAATAGCTAGGAGAAAAAAATACAACAAAAATTAATTAATCATAATTCATTGGAAAATTGTGAGCATTGTTTTTAAAAGAAATCAGTTTTTGAATACAAATCACAATTGTATAAACATATGTATTATAATCTGTCTGGTAAATTTCAAGCAACAATGTAAAGGAATACTTATAAAAGCAAAAGACTTTCTCTACACATTTTAGTTTTTTGAAGAAGAATAATAGGTGCCATCTAGTCATTTTTTGGGATTGATTCAATTCAATTCAAAAAAAAAAAAAAAAAAACAAAACAAAAAAAAAAAAAAAAAAAAAAAAACAAGAGGCCCATGACCCTCAACACTCAGAAAAAGCCATGGGCCACAACCCTCACAAGAGTCATTTTGGTCCTACTGTTCTTCATCAGTAGATTTTTTTTTTTTTTTTTTGAAATTCTCTTTTAATTCAAAATGAATGATTCCATATTGTGGGCTGAAATTTAGCTATAAGGGAGAAATGATTTAATCAAATTGAAATCCACAAAAGATCTAGATGCTTGAAAATGAAAATGAACATGGCCCAGCTGACCTTGAGAAGAATGTGGATATCCATTTCTTAAAATTTGGAAATCTATTTTCACCCAAAACTAACTCATTTACAAATTTACAAAAAAAAGAAAAAAAAAAAATAACAATACTTTTATTCGTTGAAAGTTTTAAATTCAGATATCAAAATTTAACTATAAAGGGGCTCTTAAATTAAAAATTATTGGTCTTCTTCTACTTTGGTTCTACCGTTCACGATAGCTCAGTCGGTAGAGTGCTCGCTCCGTGATCGGGAGGTTGTGAGTTCGAATCTCGGCCGCGATTGACAAAAGTTTGAATTTTCACTCGTATAGAGACGTCACCATATACCGGTGAAAGGCTTCAAATGTTGACCTTTACTCGGCACTCAGGGCCATTGAGCATTGAGGGATCTTTATCGTGCCAACGCCTGCCGTGACAAGGGGCCTCGGTTTTTAAGGTCTCACTCGAAGGACCCACAACTTTCACTTCAAAGTGCCTAGCGCATGGCGAAGGAACAGTTGCTACCCATTTTTTATCGACTTAGGTCAGTCGCGGCCGAGATTCGAAGTCACGACCTCCCGATCACGAAGCTAGCGCTCTACCGACTGAGCTACCGTGAACGATCACATTCCTTTGAGAAAAAGAAATCCTTTGAGAATTTTTATAAGCAAAAACACTGTTTTGATTTTTTTTTTTTTTAATTTTTTTATTATTATTTTTTTTTTGCCACTCTTATACATCAATGTATCCAATAGTGTTGTAGTTTTTCCTTTACTTATTACTAAAACAGTTTGAAAGAAAAAAAAGCATTTTTTCTTCTCAAGACGGAAACAATCACTTTTCTGAGTAGAAAATTTTCCTCTACAAATTCCATTCTTTACAAGTCTTTTCATCCTTTGCCCATATCTTTTTTCTATGTAAAGCAGGGACCTTTGGAATTTCTGAAATTTCATTATCAAGTCTTACTATTTTATTATTAATTAAATTTTGACGAATAATTCCAAAAGCTTTAAATTGATTGATGTACATTTGACTAAACTTTTACACTTCTGATGATAACGTATTGGAGATCATTCAGAAGTCTATATGAAATATATGGTGCTGCATTTGATTTAAATTATCTCATGCCAAGAGCCTTATTTCTTTTATATTCATATACGTTTGGTAATATGTAATAGTTTACATGGATCAAAAAGATAAAATTATACATCATAATAACCCAGATTTATGTGATGATACTACAATTTTCAAAATTAAACGAAGATAGAATTTTCTTATCCTTTTACAAATATAAAATCAACCAAATAATTCATTGTTCAATGAAGGAA